ATTTTTATTCGAATAGTAACATCGAGAAAAGGTCAAAAACCAATTCAGGAGAATAAAATGTGTTTAACACAATTTACCATGCTTTCAGTAATTTTAATTATGTCTTAACGTGATGGTAAAGCTACTACAGTATGATAGTAATAGACTCTAATGCTACTGCAATGTTATTTGTGATACCATTTGTCTAGCTACTGTACGTGTAAGCGTAGAATACTGTGGGAACTACAGTTCTGTGTGTGACACGCCGCCGTGCCCGACATATGGTGTCCTACAACCACGGTCCTACAACAAAGAACTATCGGTCACAAAGTGTCCCACACTTATGAGTGCATTCCAAGAATCAAATGGTATCACACATTAAACTGAAGTATCCTCGAAACTCCAGTTTAAACTATGATATTGTACGACACTTGCATTTGAAGAATAGATTTTTCATATGATTTTTACAAGACATAACGCAAGCCACAAGGTGTACTTCCTCAGATGCGTCCCAACACACCTAGTGGCACACAAAAGAAGTAAAATAATTCCTTTCCGGTACGGGATTGCGAACGTTGGCAGATGCGTCGCAAATCTACCAGATAAGGAACATTTCTTGTGGCATTTTCATGCACTAAAATGATTCCGCTACGGGGTATGGGTTCGAAGGTGTGACCCCACATGGGCAGACTGGGAGAACTTCTTCTGGCACACAGTGCACTGATGTGGTCTCTATCCGGTATGGGTTCGGAGATGCGTCCGCAGATGGTCAGATTTAGAAAATTTCTTGTGGCACACAGTGCACCCAAATAGTTTCTCTCCGGTGTGGGTTCGCTCATGTGCCCGCAGAGGGCCAGAGTCAGAAAATTTCTTGTCGCATACAGTGCACTCATATGGTTTCTCTCCGGTATGGGTTCGCAGATGTGTCCGTAGATGGCCAGAGTCAGAAAATTTCTTGTTGCATACAGTGCACTCAAATGGTTTCACTCCGGTATGGATTTGCAGATGTTTCCGCAGTTTGCAGGCGTCAGAAAATTTCTTGTCGCATTCAGAGCACTCATATGGTTTCTCTCCGGTATGGGTTCGCAAATGTGTCCGCAGATTGGAAGCCTGGGAGAACGACTTCTGGCACACAGTGCATTCATATGGTTTCTCTCCGGTGTGGGTTAGCTGATGTGCCTGTAGACAGTAAGCGCGAGAGAACAACTTCTGGCACACAGTGCACTTGTATGGTTTCTCGCCGGTATGGGTTCGCGCATGTTTCCGCAGATTGGAAGCGAGGGAGAACAACTTCTGGCACACAGTGCACTCATATGGTTTCTCTCCGGTATGGGTTCGCAGATGCATCCTTAGAGTGGTCGACTGGGAGAACGTCCTCTGACAAACATTGCACTCAAATGGTTTCTCTCCGGTATGGGTTCGCAGATGTGTCCGTAGACCGCCAGATTGGGAGAACGACCTCTGACAGACATTGCACTCATATGGTTTTTCTCCGGTATGGGTTCGCTCATGTGCCCGCAGAGGGCCAGAGTCAGAAAATTTCTTGTCGCATACAGTGCACTTAAATGGTTTCACTCCGGTATGGGTTCGGAGATGCGTCCGCAGATGGTCAGGTTTGGAAAATTTCTTGTCGCACACAGTGCACCCAAATAGTTTTTCTCCGGTATGGGTTCGCAGATGTGCCCGCAGAGGGCCAGAGTCAGAAAATTTCTTGTCGCATACAGAGCACTCATATAGTTTCTCTCCGGTATGGGTTCGCAGATGTGTCCGCAGATTGGAAGCATTGGAGAACGACTTCTGGCACACAGTGCATTCATATGGTTTCTCTCCGGTGTGGGTTAGCCGATGTGCCTGTAGAATGTAAGCGCAGGAGAACGACTTCTGGCACACAGTGCACTCGTATGGTTTCTCTCCGGTATGGGTTCGCACATGTTTCTGCAGATTGGAAGCCTGGGAGAACGTCCTCTGACAAACATTGCACTCATATGGTTTCTCTCCGGTATGGGTTCGCAGATGTGTCCGTAGATGGCCAGAGTCAGAAAATTTCTTGTCGCATACAGTGCACTCATATGGTTTTTCTCCGGTATGGGTTCGCAGATGTGCCCGCAGATGGCTAGAGTTAGAAAATTTCTTGTTGCATACAGTGCACTCAAATGGTTTCACTCCGGTATGGATTTGCAGATGTTTCCGCAGTTTGCAAGCGTCAGCAAATTTCTTGTCGCATACGGAGCACTCATATGGTTTCTCTCCGGTATGGGTTCGCAAATGTGTCCGCAGATTGGAAGCCTGGGAGAACGCCCTCTGACAAACATTGCACTCATATGCTTTCTCTCCGGTATGGGTTCGCAGATGTGTCCGTAGACTGCTAGATTTTGAGAACGTCCTCTGACAAACAGTGCACTCATATGGTTTCTCTCCGGTGTGACTTTGCTGATTCATCCTGGTAGGCAGTGGACTCGACTTGAATCAGTCCTCGTTTTTTCTTGCTGGAACATATGAGAGAATAAGGCAACATTGAACGATTTATCCATACAGACTGAACATAATGCCCTTTTTTAAAGGCCTTAAACACCACACGCCCCTTTTGTCAGTGTCCAATGAGACGCCGTCGGAGACGCCTAGCTATATTGGGAGTTCCGCAGCACAGTTCACATTTTTGGCGGTACGCTGGCCTTCCTGCCTACCCTCCCGACAACAGCTGGGATCACTCTCTACACCGTGGCTGGGATGTAGGATTAGCGCCCCGCTCGACAGGCAACCCACGCGACCCCGGCCTTCCGCGAATCAGCCCCCCCCCCCTCCCCCGCCCTCTCCTCCCAGGGCACGACGTTTGGACTGCGTCGATGATAAAGAGCATCGAGAGCGGTACAATACCATACTTTTCAAACATTCCCGGGCGACGCGGTATCGGGACCTGCGTGCCGCGCCGGCGTCGTGGTGGTGCGATTAACGGATAGCCCCGCCCCGCCCCGCCCCGCCCGGCCGGGTCGATCTGCGACGTCGTCGTAACGCCCGCGCCGCGCCATACCAAACCAAAGAGAAAATGGGCGACTGCGAATAACCCGGTGCTGCGGCGGCGGCGCCGAACACCAAATCGTTATTTACAGGTAATCTCGACGAGTGGCAACGGCAGCGGGGCAGAGAAAGGCCTCCCAGGTGACCGCCCCGCCCGCCCAGCTGATCGACACGTGCTCCGCGGTGCTCCACACGACGTGTGCCCCTCGAGCGCGCGCGTTAGGTCACCCCACCCCGCCCCCGCTGGCACCGCGCCGATGACCACCGCGGCGTCACCCCCGGAATAACAACGATAGCTCCGCGGACGCAGGTGCGACACACGATGACAATCGGTGCGAGAGAGTGACAGAGCAAGGCAGGTGAAAGAGCGAGGTGGGGCAAAAGAGCAAGACAGAGAGAGAGAGAGAGAGAGAGAGAGAGAGAGATTGTTACTTGGCAGCCGGAGGGTGGCGGCGGCGGCGGCGGTGAGGGACAAAGTGGGAGGCATCGTCGGCGTCGCACCCCGCCGCCCACGTCGATATATATAAGCGGGCGGAAGGGACGCGCGACCTGTTGGAGCCGCAGCCATGGCGTGGACGAGGACGAGTCTGGTGGTCATGGTGCGTACCGCGGGCCCGGGGGGTGCAGGCCGTCAAACAGCAGCAGCTACACTTTCATCCGGAGCGATCGGAAGGATTTATACTCGAGTGATGTGTGTGTGAGCGTGTGTGTGTGTGTTGTGGTTGTCGGCAGGTGGCCTGCGCCGCGGTGAGCGGACCCAGAGCAGCGGCCGCACCCGCGAGGACCTACGTCAGGTGAGTACACGAGGCCAACGACTCAGTTTCTATCTATCATGACCGGTTCGCTATGCTAAGGAAGGAAGCAATGGGTGTTGTTGTTTTTTTTTTGTTTTTTTTTTTCAGGGTGCGACACTTGTACTCGGAGCCGCCGTTCGCGGCACACGCCCACGGAGGGCAGCACCACCATCACCACCATCATCACCACCACCATCACCACCTCCCGGAGGCACACGCCCCCGTGCCGCCCGCGCACCACCACGACGACGACTATCATCACCACCACGACGACCATCACCACCACCACGAGGACTTCGTCATACACGAGCACGTCGGCCCCCACCACGGGCCCCCGCACCTGCACCTGGAGTCGGCGCCCCCCGGGTCCAACCACCTCCTCCCCCTCCCCGACGACGACTACCACCCGCGGCCCGCCGCCGACGACGAGCCGTACCCCATCGACCTGCCGGCCAGCAGCACCGGGGCGGGCTCCCTGCCCCTCGAGGACTACCGCCCCCAGCAGCCCACCCCCGGAGCGACGTCC